AATATTTATTTTAATGATGCATAACTCATATCCCATAAATAAATAAAGTAATTTTTAAAAATAATTTTGTTATTTTTAAAAAATAAAGTACTAACTTTCATTAAATTTTTTACATTTTGAATTTTTTATTTTCTCAAAATGATATTATTAATTTTTAAGTTTGAATAATATATCTTTTTCTATCTTTAAAAAATAATATATTGTTTTTTTTCAAAAATAATTATGCAGGAAATTAAACAAATATTTGATACCTCAAATGCGAAGATATCATAATAATCCATACTTAATTAATAATTCAGAATGTAATTAGTTGAACTCCATAACATAATATTACATAATTTAAATCAAATAAAATACAAATAATAACAAAATGAATTAAATGAGTGAGAGAGTAAAAGTGTGTGAGACAGTAAAAGAAATAATAGAGTAGAATAGTGGGATATGTTTTAAAAAAAGTGTTGTGTGTTTATATAGAAGGCAATAATCTAACCGTTGGATATAACCATTGGAAAGCTAAAATGTGTTGTGTGCTGGCAAATTTACCGTTAAAGCAAAAATTGGATGTAACCGTTGGTGACTAGAATTATTTTACATTTACTCATGGGTCCCACCTTCTAATGGATTACACGCATCATATCCATGATACGTGTAATCTCCATGACATGGCTCCAATGTGAGACCGTGTCATGGAGCGGTGTAATGGCCCTCCATTACACCCGCGCTGCTGTTGCTCTAAGTAGGACTAACACTCGATTTGACATCTAATAGTGGCACATAGGATCTCAACTACTCAAAACTACTGCCAACTAAAATTTATACATGCATAGAGAACCATAGGACCACAAAAAAAAGGCATTAACAATTTTGAAAAAGTACTTGCCAAATTTGAAAAAATTATGCCCTCTTTATAAATTACAAAATCTTTGTATTTTTTATGTGAAAAAGTTTGGGTGGATTTGATTTTAAATACTATCACGGGTTAGGGTATACCCTTGGAACTATAGGTAACTTATGAGAGTTTTTATAGATCACTCATCAAGTTCTTATAAATCACTTATCAACACAACTCTCATATCATCGACAGCAGGATTCGAATGCATGATTTTTTTGTAAGGAAGTGATCCGTCTCTTGAACCAACTTGCATTGGCAATAGCTTTGTCATCTTTACCGGAGTGTACCGCTAAAAGTTTAAACCTGCAAAAGTGAATGAAAGTTATAAAAGAAAACAAAAAACCAGGCTGCCAGAACTGGAAATCTAAGCTTCTTGTGTTTTTTTATGTTATTTTTTTGGGACAAAAGAATGATAAAAGTTCTGAAGTTGTGCATTGCCTGGGAGGTGGGTGGCGTTCAATTTTAGGAATTTTGATAACCTTGTGTCTGGATATCGTCCTCTCCCCACATGGTTTTCACAAGAAAAAAATAATAAAAAAAAAGAAATCCATAATCCAATTTTTTTTATATCGGATTGTTAGGACCCCATTATCTCTAGAGTTAAAACTCATGGTTCATTTTTTTTTTTTTCAAATAAGAAGACGTGAATCCCAAGTTTCTTATTTACAATCCCTCGTACTTTACCGGTTTAACCACCTAATCCGACGCTCCCCCAACTCATGGTTCATTTAAATCAAGGCGTTGCACAAACCAACTTCGCTGCAAATTTTGGTATGTTTCACCTTTCTTGGAGGCATGGATCACGACTTACGATGGGACATTTAGCTTCTCTTCCGGCAAAAAAGTTTAGGTGGAATTTGATTATTGACGATTGTGTTGAAGCAAATGCTACGTTTCAGAACCTTCATATTTGGATTTCTGAATACTTTCTCTGTCAATCAACATTTTTTGCAAATTAAAGAAAAACTTATCTTCGTATGTGGCAGAAATGACAAGGGCGAAAAAGGATGTTACGTTGGCCAAAGCAGAAGAAGCAACAAACCTCTCATTGGATTTAAGCGGGGGCTGGGGCTGGGGCCGGAGGACGAACATCGGTGTGAATGGTTCATCCCCTGAAGTTAGTGGTCCAGATTGACCAGAGTCTTCGAGCCCTACAAAATAAATGTATGGTTGTGTACAAGTTATATTATACATGGCCAAACTGGCTTTCTTCACTCTTCAGTAACAAAAACGACGACGCTGTCGTTTTAAGATGAAAAGTCACTATTCGTGATTTTTTTTTTTTTTTTTGAAAAAAAGAAAGAACATTCTCATCTCACTAAACTAACAAAAGAGTAGTCAATGCAGTGCATAAATTTTTTTTTTAAAAAAAAGATGAATGTCAATTGCTAGTCTATTTCATAGCCTTTTCTTCTGAAGTCACGCATAGATGATAAAGATAGTGATCATATTAACAGTATATTAATTTCAAGGATACCATAATGGAAGGATAGAGTTTATCCTTTTTTTTTTTCCTTTTTGGGGGCAGTTTATCTGAATTGTTAATCAAGAAAAACATCTTAATTTGTGTGAGAGAGGGAAAGGAAGTTAAGTTTCTAAATGTAAACATGGAATGGAATAGATCATCATGCAAAATGGAGTAGCCAACAAAAGTTGTTTTTCTTCCACTTTTGACTTCTCCATTTTTACTGATAATGTGCTGATCACGTAACCGCTAACACGATAAGAAACGAATATCACGTATTGCAATTCTTCTCATCATCACCACCATCGTATTACTCAACTCAACCCTCCATGCAGTGAATAATTGATTCTCAAGTTGATTCCTTAATCATCTGTCACTAAATAATTTAGGAAAAACGAATTGCAGCATGAATCCTGTTACCCGTCGTGAATCGCGAAAAGCTTCATTCACATGGAGGCGGCTGGAATCGGAAGGCGGCCTCCTTGCGTTTTGCGTTTTTGATATAGACCTTGCAAGAAATGTAAGAGTTTTGCCAGACCATATTATTGACTTGACAACTAGGGAAGACAGCGATTGCCGCATAAGTCTGGTCCGTAAATACTAAGAGTCCTTTTACTCTGCAGTCAATAGTATGACCAACAAAAGCTGAGGCCACGTTTCTAGGCTGAGAAGAGCTTTGAGGTCTTGAAGGAGCTATGAATATCTTTACCTTGATCGATCATTTCTTTGCCAGAAATCTTTCTGGTCCTCGTGCTTGACCTTGTGTAGACAAATAAAGTTAGTGGTTCGCCATTTCCCTCTCAGAATTAAACAATTTTTTTTTTATTTATGCAATTAAATTTAGTAGCATTATTTGATGGACCCAAACTGACAATGAACAGAAACCCACGGAAAAGAAAAAAAAACAAGAAATCAATGTACAGGCAGAAAGGATTTTTTCTATTGAAAATGAGGCTGCGGCTCTTACATATACAAACAAAAACAGGGCTGCTATTTTTGCACCCAACTGATTCATGTGTGACACCAAAACTGGAGACTGCGACTCTTATGTCCCTTATGTTGTTTTATCCCATGTCACCGCCCTTGCATCCTAAGTCTAAGAGTGAAATCAACATTACTAACCAATAAACTAACGCCGCGTGGCTAAGTAAACTAAGCATTTACTACTGACTTGGTATAACATGTCTACATTATTTGCATTTTGCAATTACATCCCCCCCTCCCCTCCCCTCTCTCCCCAACAAGTTCTAGAAAATCATATATTTTTTTATATCCTTTTAAGATTTTGGGAATTTTGAAATACTCTTATACGTCTTAAGCTATTTGTCCTCCTAAAAATTTCAAAGAATTTTATGTTGACTCCAAGATTCAAATGCATGCGTATTTCGTCCCCATTAAATTCAATTTCCTACCTCTATGCAATTCATAGATCTAGGCTAACAAAAACTTATGATTCCACGTCTAGAATCTTTACGCTGAATTAAGCGCCAAATGCATGCGGTCTAATTTATAGATTAATTTAACAATGACATAAATCCATTGCTTGTTAATGGAAAAGAGTGAACCAGACACGTAGTCTTTAAATTTCTTAGCTAACAGTGACAAAGAAAGGTATAGATTCTTGCGTGATGGAGAAAGATGTGGCGGTGGTTTTTCTTTTTTAGCCTTGTTGCTTTGATCAATAAAAGCTCTTATTATTTGCCCCAAAAAAAAAAAGAAAGGTATAGATTGGAAATGATTCTACAAAGTAGCCTTTTTTTTATTTCCTTTCCCTATTTATCATTTTTATTAACTATAGAGGGGGTTGTGTATATATTTTAAAAATTATAAGGGAGTTATTTGGTAAAACATAAAATCATACGGGAATAATGTGTCATGTATATTATGTTTATATATTTTGATCACTTCAACCATTTTAATTTTTAAACAAGAGTACTTTCGACATTTTCATAAGTTCCATTACAAATGATCATGTCCGCCACTTTGACACTTTAATTTAAGTCATGAGGGAGTTATGTATAATTTTTAAAATTATAGAGGGGTCATGTACAAATACACTAAATCACAGGGGATAAAGTGTAATTTGCCTTTTTTTTTTTAATCATTCAGACAAATAAAGATCCTCCTGAGCACGTATGTGATGGAACACAGCAGCATAAGTCTTCATCACTTCATTAATCGTTAAATGGTCCATTAGTCACAAATAAGTTTTAGATTGAGACAGTGGTAGGGTTAAAAAAAAAAAAAGTTTGACACGACGCCTCACAAGTCGAGTTCATTCAATTTAAGTCGATTAATATAATTTTTATAATTTTTAGTGTTATCTTATATAATTTGGATGTAAATTTGAATTTATGAATTCATATAATCAAATTACTGTAAAATTCACGATTATACTAAAATTATATGAATTTATACCAAATACAATGAAAATTACACGAATCAGTTTGAATTGAATGGAAGTCAAGTTATGAGGTCTGGATCGAAAAAGTTAATTCACTCGAATGGTGAAGCTATAGGCTCTTAGAAGAATACGTAATAATAATTGGCAAGGCATGGAAGAATTGTATGCCATATCACACCAGATGTTCTTGATTTATAGAAATTTGCCTGTCCTTGTATAGTAACTTTGCAATGTTTACAACATAATACTGAGCTTTATCATTTAAAACCCTTATGCTTTAAAGGCAAAAAAAAGAAAGACGTTGAAAATGAATAGAGCAAGTTATTGTAACCATATTCAGGGACAGCTAATGGACACGCTCAACAACATATCTAGCGTCCAAATCTGTTTATTTGAATATTAAACAGCACTTTCTTTTCCAATTCCGTGAAGAAAATGCTGTGTTGTGTTGACATCCCAACGAGCGGAAATTTGAAGAATCTCTTCCTTTTCTGGTGGAGGCGGTAAATAAAGGTCTGAGATTTGAGAATCGAGATCGGGAGGAATGTATACGGCTTTCTTGATATCGTTAAGCAGTTCTTCCTCGGAGTCAAATAGGTTGGTGGAGTTGAAAAACATGTGAAAGACTTTCATGCAGGATAGATGGAAATGTTTGCATGATTTAGGTATTTCCTCCGGCCCATCATCCATTAGAACGATTTCAAGGAATTCTTTAGTCTTCTCCTCCAAAATACCTTTCACATATGCAACGGAGCCATCAATTTTCGCGTTTGGGTTTTCGTCCAAGTGGAGCAAGACCATGTTCATTTTTCCATCTATTTGCTCCTTCTGCTCAGATGGTCCAACAAAGATTTACTGTTTTATCCCATTCTAAAATAAACCAAGTACCCAAAAAAAAAAAAAAAAAAAAAAAAGAGACGAGGGAGACAGAGAGAAGTTTCGTAATTAATTACTTGATAGCTTTGAGTGTCATTCAACAATCGGGCAGCGGACATGAATAATTTCGTGATCTTCCCATAATTGTCAGGCTTGAGCTTTTCGATTGGATAATCTTGGCTTAAGAAACAACAAGCTGGGAGAATGATCGTATGTGCTCCAATGGATATCATGCCAATGTCCAGATATTCATCAAGGGATGCTCGGTACCCGGTGTCACTCCATGTTCTTTCCACCATCCATGCACCGAATGTTTCTTGCCACTACATGTGAGTGAATGGAACGTGATTTATATCGTTGTATGTTTGCCATGAGTGAAGGTTTTTTGATAATTACCAAAATAATTCTGGTGCATTTCTAGGAAACTAACAAAAAAGAGAAGAATGTTCGTAGAAATTAAGCCTTACGATATCTCTAATCCCCTTCAAGAATTTGCTTCCTTCTCGTTGATGGTTGTACTTTCTTGCGATGTCCATGACCAGGTCACAAAGGGCATCAAAGATAATCTTACTGTGGCCGGTGAGATTTTCACCATTCCATCTGCGAGGATTTAGGCAGCATCTGCATGAGCTAAGAGCCCAAAAAAAAATGGATTTTTCCGCTATGCATCCCTGAACTTTATAGAGAATCTCAAATTGAGCCCTGAACTTCAATTTGATAACTGTTTTTTTTTTCCTTTTTGTTTTTATTGTTTGCCTTACATTAGTCCAATAGTTAGAGGGGCTAAAAAGCCTCAATTTATATTGATACTCACATGTTTTACCACAAACTTCAATCTTGAGACACTTTATACCCTAAAGTATTAATTAATTTATTGTTTCACACTTTGGTTGCATTTAGTGTTTCCAAATGGCTGAACATCTAAATTATCATCAAATGTTTGTAGAATATTACGATTTTTTGAAAGAGAATTCTCTCGACAATAAAAAATAAAAATTGCTCACTTTCTCTCAACTAAATTATGAACGACGAGACTGAAATGGAATAAGTGAAACAATTTAGTGTGCAAAAAGATTGTACAGAAAAATTTGGGGTGCAGCGTTGGAATCAATTAAAGCGCGAGACCGTCTAGTTTTTAAAACATCCTTAACTATGGCAAAATGCAAGTTAAATTTATTATAGTTAGTGAAAATGAGGTGATATGATATGAATGAGTTGATGATCAGATAGATATCTTGTACATCTTATAATCTAAAGTTTCAATTGAAGGAAGATATAATGTAAGAAATTAGTATAACTGATTTGATAATGAAATAACTAGAAAACATTGAGTGATCACTTGTCTGCGTGTAAAGAAGAAATTTTAAAATGCATGACATACCGTTGAATGGCCTTAGTCAAGATTTTTAACTCCCTTGTGGAACCTTCCACGTCGTAAAAGTCATCAGCAACTGTAATGAGAATAGCAATCTTTGCAACAATTAACCTAACAACGGAATCACGAGGCAGGCAACTGCTGGCAGCAACAGCGAAATAGCAGTAAGCAGTTTTCTCTCGTCCAAACCCTATTTCCCTCAGACCGGATTCCTTGGACCATCTGCATTAATTAGTCCGTAGGCAGCAACATATATATGAGATCAAGCATTCATTCATTACTGTTTTGGAGCGATTAAGAATGTATAGAAATGTCTAATGAATTTCAGCTGTACCTTTTTAGTTGTTCTAGTTCCTTGGCGTAGACCGACTGCCGAAGCTTGTAATTTTCATTAGCAAGTTGCACCATCTTTTCATGTTGAAGATGGAATAACCTACAAGTGTTTGTAATGCTCAATGGGTCATTGATTTTTCTTTTAATTACGACAATGCAAAAAAATGAATCCTATTCTTTAAATTTTTTTTTTTTGTTATAGGCAGATTAAAATGATTAATGTTCTACTTCGTTTTTTTTTTTTTTTTTTTTTTTGGCGTTTCAATGGGACTCTCTCTTGATTATAAAGCTTTTGTAATAGAGTACTACGCGCATCAGCACACTATGCTAAATCAATTTGTAAAACAATTGGTGCTGGATGATTTTCAGCAATTTTAGTAGTAAAATTTACTCTGTTTTTTTAGAAAGAAAATGATTTGTATTGCTTAATTATACCTGTAGAAGGATGCCTTTCCAATCCACAAGGGGCTGATTTTATTCTCTTCGATCCACATCCTCTGATCAAGTTGATCTAGCCGAGTAATCCATGGAAGAGTCAACTCATGCTTAATCTATTTCAAAAACATAAAGACCAAGTCAAGTTTTGCCCAGTAAGAAATGGCAATAAGAATCATTTTAATCAATATAGTGTTAATTTACTAAAATGGTCTAAGTATCTGAAAAATTCACAAATTGAACACATGGAACTTGATCATTGAATATTGATTAGTCTATGCACTTCATTCTCAATTCAATTTCAGCCAATAGTTCTCAATTCTCATCACATAATAAACGATCAGTTGAAAGCATTATGAACATTTAGCTTTCAATGTTTAAAACGAAGACAAAAAATTCTAAGCACTTGCCAAGAATCATATATGATATCCAAAGAGTATTATTGTATAATTCAAGAATTAAAGTACACATAATGTACACAAAAGTGGATAAGTCACAAGCGCGCTCAAGCATTCTTGTCTTCTTGGCATTGAGGTTTCATTTTCCATGATTAATTGCAACAATTACGATCCCTTCCACTTTATCATTCAATCTAACCCTCTCCCATGATTAATTACACTTCTAAGTTCTAATTGTGGTATAATTAAAGCACTAATTATATATTAAAAAAATCATTATAAACTGCTGAAAAAATGCACGGGTGACCTGCTCTGGCGTAAGAATTATATATCCTTCCGTTCTTTTCTAAATCTTTCCCTTACAAAACCAAAAAAAAAAAGTTAAATGAATTATCTGTTGGAAACAAGACGTGGACTTACTAGTTTATGTAGACCGGGGAAAATTACAAGATCATCGTCCTTACAGCTGAAACTGATCGATTTCTCCAGCAATTTCCTAGAAAATGCGCGTGCCTCCTCGAGTTCATATTCCCTCCTGAACATAACGTCCGTTGCTCTATAGACATTATATAATACGCTAGTAAGTTGTTCACAATTTTGTTCTATATACTCGAGGGTATCAGCATGCTGAAGGAACCAACAAAAGCAACCTGCAATAGGAAATAAGCAGGTATTTATTCCTTTTTTTAGGTGCTATTTCCTTTATTTAAATAGGAAGACAACGGAGATTTGATTAATTAATTCATTAATTTAAGGGCGTACTTGGCTTAACATCATGGCCTTGCATCCTAAGAAGCCGAAAAGCCAGCGCGTCCTTGTATAGTTTTGCAGCCACAAGACGCCTGTTGGCTGGCTCTAAGTCTTGTTTCCTGAGGTTCCTGGAAATTTTCCATGAGAGGATCAAATTCGATCGATCATAACTTAGAAAATGCTCAAATATATGGTTTAGCCGTGAAAAAAAAAATTAATTGTACATGGTTATTACTTGTAAACTAGCTTTAGGATGTCTTCAATCTCCTCTTCGAAGTGCTCAGCCAATCCTAATCTTTGTACATGATCAACCAAGCACAGCTTTATCAATTCTTCGTCCAGGGGATACTCAGCGGGCACTGCTAAAGAAAATGTTAATAGCAGTTTGATTAGAGGTTTTACTTAGACTTCTTGATACTATCTATATATACATTACATACACAACATTGAGATATAGGGATCAGTTTCAAAATAGAATTATGAACCTCCATTAGGACATTTTTGAACGAGGAACTCAAGGTATTCCAAGCATTTCGAACTTCCAGTTCTCAAGTATGCGCTAGCTGTGGCAGATGGTGACTGGAGAATTGAGCCGTCTCCACTTAGGTGCTTCATTATGTTTTGTTCATCAACATGATACGTAGGGGGCAAGCTCTCTAGATACCATAGCAGCGATGGAATTTTTTGCTGTGAATAATCTACAGGGTTCTCCATGCAAGTCCTAAAAATCAATTACAAGTCATGAGTATTGCAAAATTAAGTTCCCTTTGCATTGCATTTTTTGTGCTTTCTTCCCTTTAAATACTACTGTAGCATTTTCTTAAAAAGCCTTTATGCATGACGAAGAGGTGATTTGGAGATCGTTTGGAAACTTTCACAAAAATGCAAACCAAAGGTGTCTAAGCTATTTGTTATCCTGTAGAAGATTTAGGCAAATTAATGACGAATTTATGTGCGTTGTTAATGACGTATTCATAAGCTACAAAAACAATACAAAAAAAAAAAAAAATTGAAGCATCACATTTTCAGAATTTGTTGCCTCTGATGGAAAAGGTCGGATAACAGCCTCTTGGATCGTTGGGAGAAAACAAGATCAAGACCAGCTGCTTGAGCCAGTTCAGTCATTGCTGGGAGAACACTGGCAAACCACCGTGGAAGATGATGACGGTGTTGTTCGAGAATTACCTCAGCGGTGGTATGAATGAATGCTAACCCTACAGCATAGAAGCAAGCAAATGGCATTTAACATATTGAAAAGCATCACATATCAAAAGTCATAGTATGGGACAAATACATTTTGGTATTGGTTGTATGATTACCATGTTTTATACATGATTTAGTGTATATTTGTATATAATTTTGTTGTACGCATAAACTCTATTTACAAAAACCAACATAATATATGAATAAACCTATTTATATAAATGTACACCAAATTTTAAACTAGTACAATAACTACACTATACTATTCCAAAAGCCAATTTTCCCTGCTTGAATTGAATCCCTCAAGAGCCATGCATGTTTTATCGGGGCTAAAGTCACACCTTCGAAGCATTAAACACTTGTATTGTCAACAATGAAACTTGTACGAGGTGCATATATAGGATGAATGAGAGTGAATTTGGCTAAAGTCCTCCTAGATGTAACCTGAAATAGAATGCTACACTAGATTTCCTATGACTTGTCATAAAAAGAAGGAAAATCCTCCTAGATGTAACCTAAAATAGAATGGTACACTAAATTTTGGAATTTATGTGGTGCGATGAGGTATTAACCAGTTAAATAGCAAAATATCTACTTGCCTCTTGCTATGTTTTCTTCTCCGAGATTCCATGTTTTCAGGGCAACCATGCAAGCAAGAGTCGCTGGAAGAGTATCGATGGTAGGAAGGCCCTCTGCATAAGATTCTCCCCAGAACCCTCCTGCATTCTGGTTGTTGAGTACCCAATTCAGGCAACTCTCGAACTTTGGTTTGTCAACTTGTGTAGGGTCTGGAATCATGGTCAACCAGGCCGTGTCATAGGCAGATGCGGAAACCAAGTGGTGAATATCTTGATTCAAAAACATCTCTTTCTTGATCTCATAGACTAGAGATTCAACCGAAGAAAATGAGGTTTTCATGTTTTTGGATGCTGGAGACAGATGGGAGAAGGATAGGAGGAGCAAAACTTTTGGAATGCAAGTTATTGGTGAGTGCAATCATGATGCTCCCCAAGAAAGCTATTTATAGAGGACACGAAGCGGGAAAAGGCTCGCAATGGATTTTCGGTCCTACTTTCTATCTCGTTTTTTGTCCAGCTCTTTGTTATATTATCATTTTTCCATCATAAATATTTTATTTTAATTCTTCTTTTGTTTCAATAACTACTAACATGGCAGAAAAAAATAAAATAAACTGGCTAAATAAAAATATATAATAGAAACACAAAAAGTACAGCAAAAAATTCATAAAAAAATTCTATTTTTGTGATATTTTGTTTTGATGATTTATTAAATTTTATTTTTTACCTTGTTAGTAATTAGAATTTAAGAAAATAAAAAAGAATTAACATAGAATATTTGTGAAGGAAAATGATGATACAATCAAATATGAGACAATGAGCAAGATAGGAAGTTGGATAGAAGATGCATTAAAAAAAAAGATAATTTTTTTATATACTGTCAATGTGAAAATTTATATAAATAGGTTGAGATCACGTCACATAATATGAATTCAAATTTAAAATTCAAATAATACATATGCGATATTATCTAAGACTGCTAATATAAAAAATGTCACATAATATGAATTTAAATTTAAAATTCAAATAATACATATATGGTATATGTCCATGTTTATTACACTATACTGCTGATACATGCAAAGTTGACTAGCTTGTAAACGAGAATCTTGCAGGAGGCCCATCTAGCATTTAGTACCAACGGATGAACCTCCTTAGAAAAATGTTCTAACTTGTAAACGAGAATCTCGCAAGAGGCACAGCTGGAAAAATATGTGGCTGTCCTTCGTACCAACGGTAAACCTCGCAGCGCGCGAAACACGACCCGTAGGAGAAAGCTTATGCCTTACTGCGGTTGCTCCAACAACCAAAGAATTGGCCCAGGGAAAACCGTCCAAAATACTAAAATAGACGTGGGTCCCGGGCAAAATAGCCTGTCATTAATTTTATCTCACTAGAGTTCCTTTTTCTTTTTGTCCCAAAAGAAAAAAAAAAGATTAACAAAATTTGTCAAAAGTTCACACTGATATAGACTTATGGCTGATTTTACTTTGATCCTCTAAAATGCTGAACATTACAAGTTTGTAACGTGCACCTTTTCGGTAATACTTAAAATTGCATTTCTTCTTGCGCTGACCTAATTTGTAGTTAGCTGTGAGGAGAAAAAACGTAGATTGCGCAATTGAGCATTATTTGATCATGGCAAGATAACTAAGGTGAGTTATAATTGGAAATATAAAAAGGTGAATTATTTGAATAGAGTATTAGTATTTGATAATGAAGTAAGTGCCAACATTCATTGCATAATTTGTGATAGAGGAGTTTGTGCCATAGGAGTCTGTGCAAAATTATTACTCGGCCGGATTTAGTGTTTGTTTAACCAAACAGTTTTGACTACAATAATCTTTGCAAGGCCCACGACGATGTAGCGGGTCTACACCATTTTTTGCTGGTCGGATCGGGATTGGATGAAGAGAGAGAGAGAGAGGGAGCGCTTTTATAATGTTTGGATAGCTAGGGCCTAGGGGCGTGTTTGGATTGCAGAAAAAATTACTATGTTTTTTATAGACAAATTTTTCAATCACTTTTTATTTCATATATATCAAATTATTATAGTAATTTTTTTATAAAAAAATACAATTCAAACAATGCCTAAATTATTTCACATAAAATTTCCTCTCTGTCTACTACCCTTTCTGCTTTTTCATTGTCACGGGAGGGTTCCAGCCAGCTTTACACCAGCAAAAGTCTATCTCCAACAACTTTTTCACTGAAAAAAGGAAAAGAAAAGAAAAACAATTAGCGCACGTGTTTCTTGAATAAATTGCGTCTGCGTTAATTGCTCACGTAACCCAACAGCCCACTGGTCCTCCTGCCATGAGGCCCAAAAGAAGAGTGTTAATGACTACCGTACCTCCGTCCCATGCTTAGAGTATGAAAGCTCTATCCTTCCTTCCTACTCCCTCCTACCGACCACGCAGGACAATTCCGCAGACGTGAATTGAAGCTGCGGAGCTCTTGGCTCTCTCGGCAATGGAGTCAACATTATCAGTAACCACAACAATGACATTTTTATCCCTAACCAAAACCCTTAACTCCAGCTCTTCGTCTACTTCTCCTTTCATTTCTCATTGTAATTTGATTTATAATTTAGGGCTCATTCGGGATTGCAGTACATTTACGAAGAAAAAAAATGCTTTTAAGCACTGAAAGTATTTGTAGGATATTTGGTAACTAATTTTATGTAACTTAAGTAGCATAATTTTTGGTAATTTAAAAACACTTGTATCAGAAATGTTTTTTTATAAACCACTACGACCTCAAATGAACCTTGATATGATACAATTTCCACTTTATAAACACTCTAATTTTGACTTTCAAATTTAAACTAATAGCACTTATCATGGTGAGAGCTGCTGCATCCATCTCTTTCACTTTTCTTATATCCATCTAACTACTTCCCACTAAATTAAGGAAAAGAGAATGGCTAAACTGATGCATGCACGTTCTAGCTTGTACTCTTTGTGCATTTATGATTTATATTACTAACATGGACACAATATTTTCCACAAAAAAAAAAGAAAGAAAATAAAAAATTAACGGATTCATTTGGATGTCATTATTTTAAAAAAAAATTAATTTTAGTGTTTTCGAACAAATTTTTTGTTGCCTTTTATTTTATAATCGTCACGTTATAAAACGTTAACAATAAATAATATAATAAAATTTTTTCAATTATAATCCTTGTATGAGTGCTAGTACTTCTCTTGAGCCTTAATAAATGTTCACCAATTATCATCATTCCTCGTTCATCATAGAAAAGGCTAACCCCTTTTGGTCCCCAAGAAACACTCTTTAGTACACGTGTCAACATAGACATCCAAACCATCATTCTCCACGTGGCATTTAGGTCCCACCTGATGTTAGTAGTATTAGTATTTGTACAAGGGGTAATTTAGGAAAGTCAAAAATGAAAGCGTAAAGCTTCATTATTATTTTTCATGTCCTACTCGATAAATCACATTACGTGTGTTTGGATAGAGTATTATTTGAAATATTATTTCAAATAATTATTATAAAATTTTTTGTAATGTGATGTATGTAAAATAAAAATGTAGTTGAAAAAATAAAAAAGTGGATTGTGAAATGTGTTCATGATACAAGCGAAATATTATGTGAAATAATACAACAATCCAAATGAAAAACAAAGTGTAGTCAAATTGGGAAGGCACTTCATCTGTGATCAACAGTGGTCTCTAGTTCGAGTCATCGAGGAGGTAAGTGGAGCCCCACTGCTGATTCTCTTATAAAAGTAGAAAAAAAAAAGAAGAAAATAATGTTAATCTTATTATCTTTATACACCGTCAATTTTTAATGAATGATAACTAATGTAAATTTAAACTTGACATTCAAATTTTGTATATATATCATGCATCAAATGCTAATAATATACGCACCGTCAATACATACAAGATTTACTCTTAAAAAATCCACATGTTGTAGTGAAGTTTTTGTCCAAAAGCTAACATTCAATCTCTAACTTGGCTAAACTGGCAAAAGATTATAGGTTTAATACTTAATGTCAGACACTAAAGTTCGAAATGCAACCTCTCAAAAAGTCTCGTCCAATTCCCTGCTGCTAACCGAGCTGTTGCTTCGAGTTGGGCTACAGTTACTCTTGAAGGAAATGGAGGCAATTTGATAGCTTTCATTACAGGGTGAATTGATGATATCTACCAATATTTTGTTCATTTGTCGATGATGTGAAGTGCCAATTAATAAGAAATAGTAGCATACTAACTCATCAATTTGATTAATTAATTGTCTGAATATTTTGATGGCAAAATCTTGTGGCCCTAAATGAGCCACCATCGTTTGTATTTTGCTAACGTATATAGCTCCAGCTTAAGACTATTTTTTTTTCATTTTCTATAAAAAAAAAAAAGAGAAGAAAATCTCCTTAAATTTTGGAGATAGAGAATAACCGGAAAGACTGGTACATGAAAATTTTGAAGTGCAACCTAGAAACGAGATGAGAGAAGGTACTAATCAAATTTGGCTTAGTGTGGCTCCAAAAAAGGGAAAAAAAAAAAACTGGCTTAGTGTGAAAACCATGTACTACAACAACCAACACAACGGCATTGCAAGTACTTATTCATCAGCTTTAATTGGAAAGAATGTCAACAACTACTTTTTTGTTGAAAAATTCAATGGAAACTGAATTCATTAATTTTGATTTGTGGCTATGGTCACTTTGAATTCTGAATCAATTGTAACCTGGCAATCGATCACAAGGAGTACTCACGTTGGATCCTTAAAGCTACAGAATAGGACGTGACAAGGTTTTGCTTAAATACCGTTCACACATAAGATTTAGGACCCGGACCAAATGTCAATCAGTACAGATAAAACAAAGGGAAAATGCCCGTTTTCATCCCCAAACTTTGGGGTAAGGACACATTTCGTCCCTCAACTTTTGGACTCGACACATTTGATATCTGAATTAATAATTTTTTATCAATGTTATCCTTAAACGGCAATTTTGCCAATTTTTAAACGGACCGTTAAGTATTCTTTTTTGTCTTTGTCTGAACAAAAACAAAATCAGGTGAGTATCCAGCTGTCTCCACTTTCCCTTGTATCAAACCAAGCTGAACTTGATTTGCTCTATTCTAACCCTTTTCTTTCACTTCGGCAACAACAAAATCGCATTCCTCCAAGACTTTAGAAGATCGAAGAAGCTGACCTGCTGCCCTGTGATTAAGTAAGAAGGTGGAGAAATATGTCGGTGCGAAAGAAAGAATTGGAAAATCGTGCACCCCCAAATTATGGTAAGCTGTCCAGGTTCAGTATTTGTTAATTAAAGTGTTAATAATGAAAAGTTTGAGCTTTTTTGGCATT